CCCCAAAACCCCAAAACCCCAAAACCCCAAAACCCCAGATTTCTAAAATAAAATTGAACATCAAGATATGAAATAGCTAATATCTTGACTTCAGTCTTTTGTGATAGAGATTGTCTTCTTCATCACTTCCTTGGTCTGTCTTCATTTTCACCAGTTCAATCCTTGATCTTCAATGGAGAGTTTTAGCTGTAGCACTTTCATTGAGATTAGACTGCATGAAATCATTCTCTTTACCTGGCCTACCAGCTTTCAAAGTCTTTTTCTTTTTAAACTTAGTTCCAACTTTCTGGAGAGGCAACTTCTTAAATGATTTATTTAGGCATAATTGGAGGTTTCTTAGAGAAAATAGGAGCTATTCATAATTCTTGCAGTTTACCTTTGGAAACAAAATTGAGATTCTGGAGGATATCCTTCTTGTGGTCAGTCCTCTTATCCTTGAATTCCCTATTTTTAGCATAATTAGGCATCCATGCAGTTTTAGTGGGGATGAGAATAAAATTAAATCAATGAATCACATACTTTCTTCATAGAAGAGGAGGAGCTCTGATATTCTTGCTAGATGCATTTATGCTAGTATTGTTGCTATTCAAGCTTCTATCTGGCCTTTTCGCAGTATAAATACTTTGGATATCAACACCAGAGCTCTTCTTCCTTGGGAAGGACAAATCCCTTGGGTTTCGCTTCAGAATTAAGGTTGATAGACAAGGTTTTGATTTAGAATTTTTGATTTGCATATGGCTCATAAGTACTACAGGTTTAGGGTTGCTATTTTTCATCCAAGAACTAATGAATTTATCACCAAAGAGCTTACTTTTCAGGAACAGCAAAGGCTGTTCCTGGTCTTTTAAGATGTGTTCTCATTCTTTTTGTTGTATTTTGGGTTCTAAAATAATTTAATTGCCTTACAAAATTTCTTTGTCATTATCCTCACTTTTCTTTTTCATTACAAGGTGTTCTCTAATAATAATTTAAATGAGGTACTTCAATGAGAGAATGAATTGGGCTCGCATCTGATCTGATTTCTGAGTGCCAACCTCTGTTTTAATGCCTAATATTATAAACATAAATTACCTTTTGGAATAGCACTCGGAATTCTTTTCTTCTTGTGAGCTTTTGCACTAGATTTTCTCTTTCCAGTAAGAGCATTTTGATTGATAAAATCTTCCATTTCGATACTTAATTTGCTAGAAGTTATAGAAAAAAATACCTGATTGATTTGATATGAAGTTTGTGCTGACTTTCCTTACGACAAAATGGCTTTTCAAACTAAAATAACAATAAAATCCCAAATAATAAACAAAATCCTACAGTAAGTGCCGACTCGGTCTTCTTAAGCAAGGCATTTGGCTTTCCATTCAATCTCTGTCTAATCTTCTCTCTCTTCAGTCTCTGAACACTAACAGCTGCATTATTAATGTCCAAACTCATGTGTCTCATATTTAAACTTTTCATGAATAAATTAATCAATTTCAAACCCAAAATTTGGGGTTTTGGGGTTTTGGGGTTTTGGGGTTTTGGGGTTTTGGGGTTTTGGGG